CCCCTCGGCACCCAGCGGGCGGGCGAGGTGCCCCGGGGCCGGCCTTCCCCGCAGCGGAGGAGGGCGGGTGAGGCGTTGGGGCTGGGTTTCCTCATCCCTCCTTTTAAAGCAGCAAAATAAGAGTTTGGGCTGTCCAACCACCGTCACTACACGGTGGCTGGGTGGTGGGTTTTTTTCTGTTAAGGGACTCGGAATAAGCCAGCCGGGGCCGTGCCCGTGCTCAGCACAGCCCTCTGCTCACGGGCCTTGAGCCAAGGGCCACTCACAGCTGCTGCAGCAGTCGCTTGTGCCTTCAGGGAGCAGGCCCAGCACCCTCCTTGCCCCCAGCCTCCAAAGGCCAAGCCAAAAGGGAAAAACAACTCACTGTTTTTTTTTTCCCCATCAGCTGCTTCACAAGGAAAAGCCACCAAGGTTCACTTAGTTCACAAGGCTCACTTCAGAGGAGCCAGGCCGGCAGAAGGCTGGACAGGGTAGCCCAGCTGCAGGTTTTGGTGAGCCAGCCCCAGGGGGAATGGCCAGAGCACCCTCCTTTCCCCAGGGAGCTGCAGCAGCAGCTGGAGTCCAGCAGTGGCGCTGCAGGAAACAAAAACATTGTCCTGTTTACCTACTAACACCCAGGCAGCCCAGGGCTGGGGAAGCAACAAAAGCAAGCCCAAGGCACACTGGCACAGGCCCAGAGCACGGCCCAGGCTCTTGCACCGCAAGTCCCCAACAGCAGCACAGGTAGCCTTCTCCGTTCTACATACTTTATTAGATTCAGAGCTGGACAAATCACAAAGTGTACAAAATGGAGACCACACTACCAGAAGCGGGATTGTGGGTAGCAGCAGCATTCCTATGGCCCAGAAGCATTTGGTAGAATTGTGGAGAGGGCAGGCTGGGGCAGGGGGCTTTAACCGCCAGCTGCATTTTAGATTCCCCAAGGACAGACCCTGTTCACATCCCGACAGAGCTCAGCTGACCCCGCACTCCCTGGGACAGAGGGGCCACGTTTCCCATTTGTCTGGAAAGGACAGACTGGCTCAAGCCAGCAGTGGGTGGGGGTAAGTGCTCTAAGGACCTGAAATGCTGTGCCACCCACATACACACCAGTAAGAGCCTAAACCCTCATCCTTTTTGGTCACAAACCTTCCCACGGCAGGACTCTATACTGACGACTTTGCAAGAAATATAAGCTGGTGGTGAGATCTGGCGAGCCCACCATCTCCTCTGGGGGAGGCCCGACAAACTCACCACCCCAGGCATCTCGGACTGGCCAGCAACATCTACCACAACAGCAATAGCTAGTACAGAAGCCAGGGTAACTTCAACTCAGATTTGTCCAGTCTATGTTTAGGTCTATTCTACGAGTACATATGCACAAGAACTTCAAAAATACTAGGATATGATGCAAGTAGTGAGACACCAACAGAAGAGGAGTTTAATGGTGGACGTTCCCTAGAAAGATCACGAGAGGATGGGAGTTAGACTAGCCCTTCCTCACCCTGGGACGGGGAGCAGGAGGCTGACTGCACCCCTGCGCACAACTGGGTTCTGAACTTCAGCTGCAGCATGGGTGGTAACTGAGCACGGGCAGGTGAGTTCACTCCCAAGGTGAGCCACAGGGTCTTTCAATCTGCGTAGAGGGGGCCAGGCAGATGTTTTCTCTGAATGTAGTTGAAGACTGAGGAGAGGCGGAGGATGGCTTGGAGAAGAGGGAGCCCGCCAGCCTGCTGGGGCTAGCATCTGGTCTCGTAGATCCCGCTCCTGCCGATGTACCTCACCCATTTTATCACATCATGGTCACTGTAGTTCAGCTTTGGCTCAAAGACTTTCAGGTAGCGCACCTTCAGCCCAGAGGGCGCAAACGGGACCTATTGAGAAGGGGAAAGGCAGAGAGCATTGGAACAGAGGGGTAAGACGCTCTCCATACAAAAATGCCACAGGACCTCTGGGCTATGTATCTAGAAATGGACACCAAGAGCCACTGCTCCCTTCCCTACTCCCTGCACATGCGTGACAGACTCTAGTGGCTTTAAAGGCAATTTTCTTCCATCAGCTTTGCCACCTGGCTGGCCTCGTGCTAGGAAGAGTCACATGTGAGCTTGGGACAGGGAGCACTCAAACCTGTGCAATTCCCATGAGGGCAGAAGGGACTGGACTGACAAAGCTTCTCTAAGGTTAGCTGCACCCTGGAAGGCAGGCAGGGACTCACCTCAAAGTTCATGGAGATTGGTGGCCGAGCCCACTTCTTCTTGTCATTGGTGGGCAGCAGTTCAATCTCTGCACTGATCTGGGATTCCTTCATTCCAGCCATACGTTTTATCCTATCAGAGAAAGTCCAGAAGTGAGAAGGTGCCCGAGTTTATTCTCCCCCTCACTACACATGCTCAGGACAGACAGGAGCACTAAATGGACTCTGCCTCCCCAAGCCCTGCCCCTGCAGTACCCCAGACCCAACATGCTCACTTACTTCCAGACAATGGCATTCTCACTGGCCTTATACTTTGCCTTCCCTTTCATACAGATGACTTGCACTCCACTGGTATTGAGGGGTGTTGGGATCCGGACCTGGAAAGCAGAGTCTGGTGAGCAGGGGCGAGGAGACTGCAGCCTGGGCACTCTGTGCAGTCTCAGGGGAAGACCACCTGTCCTGGACCCCTTGGCCTTCTCTCTCCCATCTCAGGGCCCAGAGAACATCAGCTACCACAAGGCATCACAGTGTCCTGGTTTTGGCTGGGATAGAGTTAATTTCTTTCTAGTAGCTGGCATACTGTTACATCTTGGATTTAGTATGAGAAGAATGTTGATAACACACTGATGTTTTCAGTTGTTGCCAAGTAATGTTCAAACTAAGTCAAGGATTTTTCAGCTTCTGATGCCCAGCCAGCAAGAAGGCTGGAGGGGCACAAGAAGTTGGAAGGGGACATAGCCACGGCAGCTGACCCAAACTGGCCAAAGGGGTATTCCATACCATGTGACATCATGCCCAGTATGTAAACTGGGAGGACTTGGTCTGGGGGGGGATCGCTGCTCAGGAACTAACTGGACATCCGTCAGTAAATGGTGAGCAACTGCATTGTACATCACTTTTTTATGTTCCAATTCTTTATTATTATTGTCATTTTATTATTGTAATCTTATTATTATTGTTATTATCATTATTATTTTCCTCCTTCCTATTCTATTAAACTGTTCTTGTCTCAACCCACAAGTTTTACTTCCCCCCCCCGCCCCCGTTCTCTCCCCCATCCCTCGGGGGGGGGGG